GAAAAAAGCTTTTAAGGGTTCGGGAGTGGCTTACCCAGTCTCCAGACCTGAACCCAATAGCAAATCTATGGAGGTAGCTGAAACTCCGTGTTGCCCAGCGACAGCACCAAAACCTGAAAGATCTGGAGAAGACCTGTATGGAGGAGTGGGCCAAAATCCCTGCTGCAGTGTGTGCAAACCTGGTCAAGAACTACAGGAAATGTCTGACCTCTGTAATTGTAAACAAAGATTTCGGTACCAAATATTAAGTTCTATTTTTCTATTGTATCAAATACTTATTTCATGCAATAAAATGGAAATAAATTATGTAAAAATCAAACAATGTGATTTTCTGGATTTTTTTTAATGTAGATTTTGTCTCTCACAGTTGAGGTGTACTTACGATGAAAATTGCAGATCTGTCCATTCTTTGTAAGTGGGAAAACTTGAAAAATCAGTGGTGTATCAAATACTTATTTGCCCCACTGTAAATCAGATCTAATATGGACGTGTTGATTAGGGGAAAGACGTCTTTGAGCAGCCTGGTCAGGATGGAGGATGGGGTCTAAGAGACATGATGATGATTTAGATGAAGCAATTGTTGAGGTCAGCTTAGAGAGATCTATGGGAAAGAAGCAGTCTAGGTATAAATGAGGTCTTACAGATGTTTCTAAACCCTTCGTACTTGATGATACATTTGTGAGAGTTGTAGGAAAAATCAGATAAATTTTTTCTCTAATAGTGATGATTTTATTTGTAAATAAGCTCATGAAGTCATTACTACTGAGCTCCAAGGGAATATTAAGTTTGGTGCCTATCAGTTTCCGTATTGATTCTAAAATTCTTTTTATGGTTATTAAAGCACTTTATGGTTTTGCACCAGCCTATTTGTCTGACATGCTTCCAGTTTATGAACCAGGATGGTCTCTCAAGTCCTCTGATACGTTGATGTCAGGAATCGGCACGTGAAGCTGCCGATAATGTTGAGGGGTGAACTCAATTATATAGCCAGACGAGGATAAGTGAAATACTGTCTCTTTAATAACAGCACGGACAGCAAAACGATACAGCAAACTATGTAAAACACGATACACACTCTCAGGTTGAAAATACAGTCCAGGGCCAGAGCCAGAAAACTTACACAGCCGAGGAATCCACAAACGAGAGGTCAGAGAGGGAAGTCCGATAATCCATTGAATCTTTAGTTGTTCCAAACTGCATGACAAAAAACAGTTTGCCTAAGGAACTGAGAGCAGCAGACACTGTTTTTAAATGTGAACTTAAAACCTACCATTTTAACCTGGCTTTTAACAGATATTTTGAATTTTTATTGACTTCCCATGTGACTTCAGCATCCTATATACCCAGAGTTCCTAATTTCAGCATTGTGGTGCAGTGGGCTTCTAATTTGATGTGTGTTTAACAGGATTCAACTGAGCAGTGAATGCACTGAGTTCAGTGCAGCTGTCATTAACCTTACATTTCCCTATATTAGGTTGATGACTGTAACACAGACAACACCATAATGAACACACAATACATTATTTCACACACCACAATGTGCTAGCTGAATGCTCTCTGATAAACTGTGACAGATGTTCTGGGTTACAAGTTGGTTTTGTTTTAAACTGATGAGTTAATGCAACATTATATATAAAAGTAATGCCATCTTATAATGTTAAAATAATCAATCTAAACATGATAAATCATTTTTTAAGATCCTTCAAAATTGTATTTAGAACATTTTAAGACTTTAAGGCCTAAAATTCAGATTGGATTTATTACTGGATTCAAATTGTTATATATATCCTGTCCATAGTACTAACATATAACATTAACTGAATGCATAAATGTAAATGGCTCAGGAGTTCACATTTACTCACAGTTGGCCTGGTCAGTGCCTATACATACTAAATGCTTTGCTCTCTCTATTTCCACTAAATGGAACCAGTTGGTCAGCCATCCCTAAACTCTTGGAAGAGGGAAAGGAGGCAAGGACAGAGAAGGTGGTGGGCGGAGAAAATAGGAAGCAGAGAGGGAGGAGATGAGAGGAATAAAAAAAAAATACAAAAGCAATTATGGAAGAACTGAAAAAGAGGTGAATGCAGGAGTTGGGTTAAATTAAAGGAGATGAGTAAGTGGGAGAAGAGAAGAGCTGCAAAAATGCTGAGGAGAATAGGTGGTGGACAGGAGGAGAGAGGAATTAAACCAAACCAATTTAACTAAAGTGTTTTCTTATCATTTTCTCTAGTGCATCATCCACCAAGGTCGATCATTTTCCAAAGAAAAAAAAATCTGAAAACAAAATAGATTTACAGTCTGCAACCTGCACAATATTTTCACAAAACTCATTCCAGACACTCATTTTAGACTGGAGGCAGTAGGTGGGTGATAGCAGATGGGAGAAGAGGTGTAGTTTTAATGGAACTGCTGCATTGGTTTTAACCTTGAGGAGACCTGACAAGTCCCTGTGTGTTTGGACAGCCAACAAAGCTGTCAGCTGAAAAACAACGGCACAGTTCCTGTGCTGTGTGTGTGTAATCTGGAGTTGCATGGTGGCCACATGCTGCACCTGCATGATTTATAACCTCTCTGTTTAAAGTGGTCATCCTTGTTTTTGCAATTTACTGCTTTTGCACTTCTGCCATTCTTAAGGAGCGATTGCATGGAACTGCCAAAAAAATTCCCTGCCAGTCAATAAGTGTGCAACTCTCAGCCAACATTTAGTTTTATTTTTCTCTACTTTCTGTCCCTAACATTAGCCAAGTTGCCTACCTATACATAAGGATAATCACCTTTATTGGCCAAGTATGTTACACACACAAGGAATTTGTTTTCCAGTACAGAACCGATGACAGCTATCTGCAGCGCCACCTCAACTGATGGCTCTAACCATCGGGGGGTTTAGTGTCTTGCCCGAGGACATTTCAACACATGGACTGGAGGCACAAAGATTTGAACCTTCAACCTTCTGGTTGGGAGACGACTGCTCTACCCACCGCACCACTGTTGCCTCCCATGCCATATTTTAATTGTCATAATCACAGCAGCTGTCTAGCTGTAACCATACAGTAGCTTTTGTGTTAGACTGATGCTGTCAGGGAACAAATTCAGGGGTAATTAGCACCATTCTTGTGTGGCACTAGAATTGCATTGCCCACACAGTCCAAACCAGGTGAAAATACATTACTGACGTGGAGCAACTTACCAGACTAGTGTTCAGAATGGCAAGTCATGTACTGTGTTAGCAACACAGATAAAGATAACCCTAAAGCAAGAAGTTAAGTAAAGTAGCCTGATCTTCATATTTTCGGCATCAACAATTAGAAACATGTTTTCCAAGTCCTACTGGATTTATGTCCTAATGGGTATTGTTCTACAGGAATCATAAATCTTCTTGGCAGCACATTTTACAAATATTTATGCTGTCATACTTTGCCTTGAAATTTGAAAAGTGCAAAATTAACCTTAAGATATGTTGTGTGTGTTTTCCCTTCTCAGTGGTGGTGTTGTACGTTCAAGGCCTGGGGACTAAGGAGTGGAGAGAGGTGAGTTACAATAAATACCAGTCCAGATGCAACTGTAGTTCTGTTTTCAAATGCAGAGTTAATGAAACTGACCCCTCAGTTTTTAAAGAGTAAAACAATAACTGGGCTGATTAGAGTTTGTTTTGCTGAAACTGATAAAAGGTGTGGTGGCCCAGACAGCCATCTGTCGATGGATTTAGAACTGAATAATGTAAAGGAGATTGTCCTCAAATAAATTAAGACAGTATACTTTGTTTGTGCCAGCATGTTATTACGATGAAATATTACATGTTATAGTTTGCCGACCAAATTAATCATGACATGAGGAAAGGAGTAATAATATAGAGGTACAAAGTCTGCATTAGGAGGAGGAAATGATGTGGTAGATGGCTAGGTACACAAAACAGAGGTCCTCAGGAGAGAGGCGAGTTCAAGTCCTGTGTGTGGCTTGTGTTTTTCCATCAGTGTTTGCTCCTACAGTAACTGAACAGTAACAATGTGGTTTTATTCCTAATTATGACCAAATAGTTTTTGTTCCTAAACCTAAACAAGAATTTGTTGTTCCTAAACCTAACCAAATAGTTTTGTGCCTAATCATAGCCAAATGTTTTGTGTAACAAAATGTAATGAAACCCTGGTGGTTTCACAATTGTAACATCATATCACAATGTCCAAGACAAAAGAGTCCATTGGTTCGGTGCTAGCAGCTAGCCATTGTGTTTATGGCTGTTTCCATGATGACAAAGGTCCATAAAGCTCTGTAGTGCAAGTTTGTTAATTTTGGCAGAATTGTTTCAATTCCTCCTGCAACTTAAGAGGTCTATTTAATGAGATGCCCCTATGGGTCGTATTAGAAGGAAGGGACAAATGACATATGGGTTGTACTGATTGGAGGACTTGTTGCTATTGCTTCAGTACACACTATTGCCTGTTGTTTATCTTTTTGTTGATTCAATTTAAAGCCTATATTTCATGGAGACTCTTTGACAGTTACAGTATGTTGCTTGTGTCCAGTATAGGTGAGTTCATTATTTTTGCTAACCTCTAAAGCTTATACTTTATTCATCTGAACAGTTGCAGTGGCAGACCAAAGTGTATGATATAGGTTGCCAAATGAGTTACATGCACAACTGCGTGTAGTGTCCTTTCTCTGTTGTCTTTTTTCCATCATAAAGTATCTTGTCCTTAAATATAAAAGCCCTGAGATGGACAGTTGAGACTCAGCACATTCAGTTAAATAAAACATTGGATACTATATTAAAGTGCCACATCTCAGCTTTAATTGGAGTAGAGTTACATCTATATAGAAAGAACTAAGAGGAGGATACAACACTTTGAACACTGTTCAAATATAATGGGACATTGGACTACTGTTTCTTGAGCAGCTGTGTCTTGTTTCCACATTAGTTCATGCCTGTGGCTTGGAGGTGAGTTCAGAGTTGCCATTTAAGACTGAGCTAGAGTTAAAAAGCATTTGTGGACAAGCAAATTAGAAAATGGCAAACGAGCTGGTAAACTAAGCAGCACAAGACTTGTCCATGAGCAGAACATAGTTTGCATAGTTGAGGAAAAAGCCCTTTAAAAAGCAAGTCCAGATGTAGGTGTACACGTTTCCATGTTAGCGATCATGAGAAGACTTCATGACCAGCATCTCAAAGCAGAAGATTCAAAGCCCTGCAAAGGTACAAATGAGCTTTGTGTGTTCAGACAACTGCATCACATCCCTGGACCTTTCATAATTCAGGACGACAAGGTTCCTAAACATATGGCCAAAGCAACCAAAAAGATGAAGTGGTGGAATATATTCAATTGGCTGATTCAATCACTTGATCTCAGTTCGACTGAGCTGCATTCCATCTGCTGAAAAAACAGTCTAAAGGCAGAGAGAGCCCACAGCAAGCAGGAGCTGAAGTGCAAGGTCTGGGGAAGCATCACCAGGGAAGATACAAATTGTCTGCTGATATCTTTGAGTTCAAGACTTCAGGCAGGCAAGTGGAACCCCTAGACTCTGGACACTGTGTTGAAAGGTTTATACTGTATCTCCCAGACCGTTAGCTCAGTTATCTACTCAAATTAAGGATGGGGTTTGACACTTTAAAGGGGTATCCACTGCTTTATTTCAAACTGTATATGCAAATAATTACAGGCTGGTCTGAACATTAAGACTGCCTTTTAAGTGAATGTGAACAGTTCATTAAGCTGATGTTTTCCCTTCAAAATTAATTTCACAATTCTGGATCTTCAAGTAGCTTAGGCGATGTCATATCAGATATAGTATATGTATCAGCCGGTCTCTGGCAGAAACCTTGCATACCCTATGGTGTGGTGTGCATAAGGAATAAACAACTTAATACATTCATGTATAGTCTAAAGTAGTGCATGTCAAAAGGCACGTATAATCCCAGTAATACACTCAGTTTTGCGTTTGAATTTGACATATATGTTATTTAGCCAATTGAGGGGTGGTTTCAAATTTACTAAGTCCTCTTTTTCCTTCTGTCTTGGAGACTGGGAGAAAAACCAAAATATTAACTGATGGCCAAGGTTAAAAATGATAGAAACCCTTCATAAAGCAGTTGTCCTTCTCAGCACATTTGTGGTCACAAAAACAAAGTGACATGTAAAAAATGTCCTGTGCTTTCTTGTGGTAAGGTCAAAGCTAAAGAGAGTCTAGCCAGGCATGAAACAAAATATCCTGTAATCAGAGTATTTTATGGCAAACAGAACACAATTAAAACTAAGTCGATTTGTGAAGCCTGACCAGTCAAATATAGGAAGACCATACAAGACACTCTGTGAGGTCAGCCCTGGAACACTGTGGCTGTGTAAACACCTCATATGTCTTTCTCCCATCTGTCCGAGAGTCTGACTCTCTGCACGTCGTGTCTTTTAGTAATTTGTGCTTTGTGCCATCAAAGAAAATCATTGTCATCTCAGTGGGGATCCACACACACTGATCCTAGAGAGTCTCAGTCAGTCTCATGGGGAGAGGACACTTTCAGCAGGGCAGTATACACTCACACGCACTTAGGGACATGTGTAGACACACTGGAGAGCTGTGGTCGATGCACCCATACAGCAGTATGGATCAGTTTGCAGGTAAACTGCAATCACAGCTCTCTGATGCTAAACAAATAAATGTCACAAATGAATGGCAATGTTCAGTGGTTTTAAACATACAAAAGACTGATGAGGCTGCAGCTACATGCAGCACTCAGGCAAGAGGGTAAAAGAAAAGTGACAGGGGAGAAAGAAACAATGAGACAAATGATAGCTTTTTAGACGCCTGCTTTTTGAAATTTGGACAAATGTACATGCTGCAGTTTGAATTAATAGCATACAGAACTGAATCCTATGCCTGTCTTTCCATGGAAAACCCAACAATTTGAACTTGGTGTTTATGAATAGTTTGTGTTACATGGCCTTAAAATACAGTTTCAGAAGCTTTCCTATCTTGACAGGTATATCAAACATTTTGAATTTGTTTAATAGATGAAGCAATAACTGGATGTTTTCCTTCTGCCAGTGAATATTGGTAATAAATCCATGATAACCCCCAGTATACGCAAGGAGACACCTGTGGGTGCTTTTCTGTTTACATTAGTTGTTTCAGCAGAAATCTCATTAATCTTAAATTAAAAAGAAATTTAATCAATCTGAGTGACTGGGCATATTCATCCAAGCAGCCAGTGCTTAGCATGAATGAAACTGTTATGGCCTAGGGCCAAAGAACACCAGTTGACACAAAGGCTGGACTCAGATGTCAGACTAGCCAGGAGGTTTATTTTAACACAGACTTCAACCAGCAGAACAGAGCGGTGAGAATGAGGGAAGTAGTCAATGGATATTGATGTACTGGGAGACAGTCAATGAGGACTTGGGATTGCCTGGAGTGAGAGATAGAGAGAGCACCCCATGACTTGTTGCAGCAGGCAGACTGGAGAGTAGGGAATAGGCAGGTGGTGGTTGGCGCAGCTGGAGAGGGGCCAGGTAGATGCAGTTGGCTGGGAAAATCACGCGGGGATGAAGGTGGTGTCATTGGGGTGAAGCGGGTTGGAGCTGTGGCTCGTGGTGCAGGAGAAGAGCTGAGTTGGTGCAGTAGCGATACAGAATAGCAGACGAGAGGAGTGGACACAGGACTGGAGGCAGACTCACTCAGCAATGCAGAGTAGCAGACAAGAGGAATATTCAGGCAGACAAGCAGGGAACACAGGAACCAGGAAACTGCTGAGTGCTTAGAGCAGAGCAAAAGCTTGCAGGAAACACAGAAACAAAAAGGTAAGCGAAGTTTCTGAAAGTACTCGAGCAGATAGCAGCTGGTAAGCTACGGTGTGAGCAACAAAACTGACTGGCATTGAGGAGGCAGCTGAGCCCAGGCTAAATGCCTGTGACACAACTGGTCACACCTAGTAACTCAACCAAACACCAAGGAGGTAGAGAAGTAGGCACAGGTTAGTGACCTAACAGGACCACCCGAATGCCCATTGGGAGCCTCTAGGCAACTCACCAGGCTTTTCAGGGTGGGCCTGATGAAAAGCCCGCACCACCTCTGGGTCCAGAATGTAGGAGCTAGGGGCCCAGGACCCGTGGCCCTGGTGGCAAACATCCAAGAGCTGGCACACCGTGGATGCAGGGGCACCATTCGTGACCAAGGTGGGTGGCGGAGGCCTGGAAGGAAGGCACAAGGCATTGTCCACCACAGGTTTGAGTTGGGAGACATGAAAGGTAGGGTGCACCTGTAAAGACTGGGGAAAATGAAGCCCAACCGCTAAGGGATTGATGACCTTGTCGATAGGGAAAGGACCAAGAAACCTCTGGGCCATCTTATGGGTGATACCTTTAAGCAGAATGGTATCAAAAGAAAGCTAAGCCCTTTGCCCCAGGGGATAAGAAGGGGCCATCCGCCGGTGGTGGTCAACCAGGTATTGATTTTGGGCCACTGTGTACCCCAGGGTGGCTCGGGTCTCCCCCCACACCCAGCAGCAGTGGCAAAGGTGACGGGACTTCAGTTTCCCATTCTT